GTTGAGCAACATGCCTGAATGGTCGGGCAACCTGATCGACCCTGCGAAGTCTGCTGAGCTGGTCGCGGCGAGATGGGGCGGAAAGGCGAGTTATGACAAGCCTGAGGCTCCTCTGACTGAGGCTGGGATGAAGAGTGCGTCATTGGAGGATCGAGCCTATGCCCTGTCGCAGCTGAACGAGATGGTGAACTTTCACAAGAAACACCTATGCTCTGGGCGAGGCGCGCCTATGGTGAGTGCAGCCGCCTTTAGTGGACCGTTTGCTCCTGATCAGCTGGATGATAGCAGGAGATTCAGACCAAGTGAGGCGGCGAGCAAGATGACCTACAATCTTGTGGTCCTGGATGGAAGGAAGGATTATCTTGCCGATAGGCGGGAAATCAATCCAGAGTTAAGGGATACTGGGGTTATCCCTGATGAGGCCGCTACATGCCAGATTGTGGTTCCCTCGAAGACAAGGTTGGGTGAATACCTCCCGAACTACGAGGAGACCGCGGGCACCGTTGCAGGGCGGGAGGCGGCTAAGGAGTTGATGAGACTGCTCTCGTGCGACTTTGAGGGTCATCAACTCGAAGAGAGTCTCGGAGTTATTCGAGGAACGTGTGCTGAAGGAGACCGGGCGTGAGGCTGGAAACTGGGTGAATAGTGACCAGGCCATCTGGTTCCTGAGGGAGATCTCGGGCATGGAGGACGCCGAGATGTCGTGGAAGTTCTTCATTCCGACGATCAAAGCTTTCCCGATAGGGCAAGTTGAGGCGATGCTCATGGTCATGTACGATGGGAACGGTGTCCTCCTCAAGGAGAGCACTAGGTTAGTGGCCGTTAGGCACACGCGGATCGGACGCGACATGAGCTACAGCGCCGTTAGGCAAAGGTACACTCAAGAAGATGCACCTGGCGCATCTCTGATGTACGAGATGCATTGGAATGAACTCCCCATGGTGGGGTACGTCGTCATGAAGTTCTCGGACTTTAGGAAGGCGGTTCAGCTCCAAAGGGTGAGGCGAAACGGAAAGGCCATGATCGAGATATTGATCACGAGGCCCGATGTGTACGAGACCATTGGAGATGGAAGGCAGGATGAGGGCCTGATCCCACTTGTGGGAACCATGGCGCCGAATGCCGAGGTATCGCCGTCGTGGTACGTCAGGGACAGGCTGCGGAACTACTCGGGTAGGTACGTGGTGGTGATGGTGGACCTTCGGGTGCACTGGTCCTTGGTTGGACCCGTGTTTTTGACGAGAAGGAAGACCCTCGCCGTTCGGAACGAGATCCACATGGGAGCTTGGAAGGCAGCATACATGTACGATGATTACACGATAGTGTACCATCGGGCATGGGACTATGGTGACTTCACCCCCGTTAGGGGAGAGCACAGGCGATCGCGTGAGGAGGTCAGGTTGAATGTGACCACCACGTTCTGTTTGAGGTGCGCGGAGATGACGCCAAATGGGATGCATTTGTGTCCTGGGTGTGCGCTCCCGGTCTTCTACCCGAACTTTATCCCCAACGCGGAGGAAAATGACTTCGAGAGGTGCCGCATCGTCCCGGAGTGGGTGAGGACCATGGGGCAGTTCAAGCCCAAGAGGATCCCCGCCGAAGTGGTCGGAGTCATCAAGAGGAACTTGATTTCCTATTCGATGGCGTCTGACCTGAGGATGACGGTGCAGAGCGGCATCAGACTGCCCCCTTATCTTGGTGAAGACAAGGGAGGAGTTGATACGGCGTGGGATGAGCTGGCGAAGGTGCTCTTCCAATTCTCCTATGTGTCGGGGATTTCGGCCTCGGATGCGTTTGTGGAGAAGTGGGTGGCGAAGCACCTGATTATGACCAATCAAGTCGATAGATTTGATTCGGTCACGGAGTACTTCCGTGCTAACCCGAGGCATGCTGCTCAGTGGGGTAGGCGTATGACGACTTCCGTTAGGAAGTTCGCTCGTCATGATACGTACTTATCCTTCTACATCCCGATGGCGTATGTGATTGGCTCCGCGGCGGGTCATCTGACTCCATTGTATCCGACCCATCGGAAGGACGTGGACATCCTGGCCAGTCATGCGTTGATATCGCAACTCAGGGGGTACATGGTGTCGGAGACAGGGTACGATGAGAAGAAGAGATTGAAGGAGGCGATAGCCAAGGTGCAGAAGGCAATCAGTGCCGGGCAGTCGGAGCCTCCCGCCCCCTTCCGTGACCCATTCGTCTACGTTAGTGACGAAAGGGTAAGGACGGTTCTTGATGGTCGCCAACCGGAGCCTTTGGACGTGAACGTCGAAGGGCTTCAATCGGTGCATCATGCTGCGCCGGGTCCTGGTCCTAAGCAGGAGCCGATCATCAAGGGCGGAAAAGGAAAAGGGAAGAAGGGAGAAAAGGGCGGTAAGGGCGGTAGTCCTTCCGGCCCACCAGCGAAGTCAGGTGAAGTGCCAGGCAAAGGGTCTGGTAAGGGCGATAGCCCATCTGTCCCACAGGCAAAACTTATAAGGCTGATGCTGGGCCGGCTCCGATGGAGGTTGATGCTGCTGCGGCTCAGCCGAAGAAGACTTGGATCTCGGTAGTGGTTGAAGGAGCCCGGCCGAGTGCGAAGGCTAAAATGACTCCGGTTCCAAAGGCCGAGCCAAAGGGAAAGGCAGCTTCTGTTTCAGAGGCGAAGAATGCTCCGGCTCCGAAGGCTGAGGCTAAGGAGACGAAGCAGGCCGAGCCGAGGGTTGAGGTCAAGAAGGAGAAGGTAAGCGGAGACGACGCTCCTGGCGGTAGTCGGGGGTCGGCTGAAGGGCAGAAGAGAGAAAGGAAATCCCGTTGGGATCCCGATGAGACTGTGAAGGAGTCGACAAAGCGGGAGGCGTCGACAAGGCCTGATGACGTCGACAGCCGACCAGGTGCGGCAGCGAGAGAAGCTAGTGGGGATGATCTTCACTCCGCGCTTGGCAGGTCTTCGGCAAAGGACGCGGTAGCGCCTTTGACGGCCTCCAAGGCGATGGCAAAGAAGCCTGAAGGCGGTGAGATTAGGTTGCAGTCGGCTGAGCGAGCTGCGGCGAGTCCGGTGGAGGGTCACTTCCTGGTGCTGCCTGAGAGTTCAGTGGTGGACGCTCTCTTGGCGGTCTCCACCAACAGAGTGCTGCACAAGCAAGTCAGGGATTTCATTAGAAATGGTGAGGACGCGTCAGCACTGGAGGCTCTCAACCAGATCGTGACGAATTCTCGCTCTGGGAGAAGACGTAGGGAATCGGATGTTTCCCGCACTCCTTCTCGGAGGTCCGTTAGGACCGTGGACACCAGGGATTCCAGAGAATCGAGAAGGCGCAGATACCGTCCGCGGCGCGAGGATGATCGCGACCGGAGGAGGGACGATGCTCGTGATCGTCGTGATGATGATTCACTAGATCGGGAGCGAGATCGAAGGCGAGATGATCGCAGGAGATCCGAAAGGGATCGTGACAGAGACCGCGCGCGGGGCGGACGTGACCGGAGGAGACGTGATGATAGCCGATAGGCTGAGTGACGAGGATTGCGGCCGGTAGGCTTGCGTCCATTCTCCAATGGTCGGCGCGGTGCGGAGGTGGTGATGTTCCTCCCGGACCGCTGAGGCGCGGAGGTCATGTCTCTCCCGTACCGCTGCTGGGCTGCTGGTCGTGTTCATCAGGAAGCAGTGTGAGTGAGGGGGAAAGCAAACTGATGGGGGGTTACTCCCGGGTTTGCGGAATTCAAGCATTTTTCAGGTACGCATGGTCAGGAGTACCTCTTGCCGTTAGGCGAGGGTGCTGAATGGACATACGTTATCTTCCTTTTCATGGCTTCTGATAAGAATTAAACTTCTTGCATTGCTGATGCAAACAGTTGTGGCCTAGTGTCGTCACGTGGACTTTTCCACAAGGTATGTTGGACAGCGTTACCCTGTTTAATTCGGGGTGGTGGCGGGAATTTAATGCCCGGGATGTCGCGCAACTGCCTTTGTGGGTTTGCTCCACCGCTGACGGCGGTAGTGTCCAGCTGTTTGCGGACGCATGCGAGCAGTTAAATCCTATCAGTAAATGGCACGCTCCACCCGTCATATGACGGGTTCCTCGTGAGGGGGGTGTGATTAGCCATGATTCATTTCATCAACAGGGATGTCGCGGTAGTGACTGACCTGTGATGTTTGGCTCAAGTTTGCGGGTCCGTCGCGCCTCGGATGAGCGTCGCCGGGTCCCCGCGTCGATCACCTTCGTGTCGGTGGAGAAAGAGACATCGGCCCGGGGCAGATTGGTGGGGTCCGCCCGTGCGGTTCATCGTCGATCAAGGTTGCGGGTACTTGTTTACTTGTTTTGGTTTTTCCCTTTTGGTTGTTGTTCTCTGGTGTGTGGGAAACCCTGATCTTTGGGACCGGGGATTGGTTTGCTTTTGGGGAACCTTTCTTTTGTGGCTTGTTTACCCCAACTTACCCATTGCCTGGGCACAGGCTCGTGCCCGAATCACAGTTAATAAACTAGGGCTTCATACCTGGGGTTGATATATAGGCTCATGCATTCAGCCTTTGATTCGATTTGCTTAAGGCTTGGTTTTCCAGGTTTTCCATGGTTTGGGATTCTTTTTTGCCATCCACGGGTTGAAGCATCTTTCGTATGTCTTCGAGCTGCAAGCAGCCCAGGTCTTGCACGAGCACCTTGGGCGAACCTAAAGTCAACTTAGATTGCCTTCGTGCGCTTATGTTCATCAAATCTGAATCGCAGTGGCATTTCATTTGTTGCTGCCTATTATATGAGAAATCATTGAACCATGGCAACACACACACACATACTCCTACATCGTAAGCGGCCTTGATAATGAAATAATAAGTATGATGTCTTGCTCTTTATGAAGCACCATTTTCGTGAGCAGCAACTACAAGCATCATGAAGAGATAGCAAAGGAGGGAATCACTTTAGGGGCCTAGTTTACTTTGCAGCTTTTTTTGTGGTGCAATGGTCAGGGATAGCTTTGATCACTTCACAGGCCCAGTGAGCGCTGTTCGCCACGGCTCGTAGGCAAATGACCAGGGGGAGAACCAGAGTCGGCGCGTGGAGGCCGCGGATCGGGCGCGGGTGGGGGTGGCACTGGCGGGAGCCACAGGGGCATTGGGGGGCTCCAGAGAAACTTGGTAGTGGGGGCTGAAAAACCTGATTGTTTGCATGTCAGAAAGGCCGCGCAGAGTGAGACCCCACAAAACAGGTGTTTTCCTTTTGGTTGCCCTTTAAACCAACCCCAAATACCCAAATGGCATCCTCTTGACATGAGAGCATTTTCGAGATGTCTGGTTGTGGTGGTTTCGAGCACCATTGTTGCTTCCTTGTGATGATGTTTTTGGAGGGCACCCCTTTTAAGGTTACTTTATGCACTTTGAGGGCACCCCTTGAAAGCATCCGCTACTTTAAAGGGACATCACAAGGAAAGCACGGGTTTCCGGGTCCCCGTTTTGCACACGCCCATGGATTCCCCTGGCTAGTCATTGTTGTGGCAGAGGAAATCCCTGGATGGTGCTTCAAGGGAGGCCAGGAGCAGACATATCATGTGTAGATCTGCCCCTATTTCCGATTTGCGGCCAACCCATGTAGCACACCTCTCGCATTTGTTCTCCTTCATCTTCCATTTCAACCGCTCTCTCTCCCTCTCTCGCTTGGCATGGGAGGTAAGCCTCTCGCAGCACCTGAGTAAAACCTGAGAAAAAAGCAACTGAATTCCAGCCGTCAACCAGCATAATTAGTCACACCAAACGGTTGCACATTGCATTAACTCTTTGCAGGTCTAAGTCCTTCCCTCAAGAAAGATGTTTTTGTTTGCGTTGCAGATGGTTGGATCACTGCCCGGTTCTGACCACAGGGTCCCTGTATTTCCATTTCAAGTCGTCCCAAACACCCACTTGGGCAATTCAAGATGAGTTTACCTCAGGTGTAATTCATTTTAGGTTGGAACATGTTGGATATATTGGCGGCTCGTCTTTTTTGAGGGAAACCTTGTTGGGTAGTAAAGGAAACAACCGGGAGAAACCGAAACCATTTTGGGGTCCCCTATTGTTGAGACATGCCAAATCATTTTGGGGGGTTCTCAAAATGGGGGTCTATTTGCTACAATGTCAAGGGGTTCCTTTTGGTTTCCCTTCACATAATAAGCCTGGCATCCCCAACAGTTCCGGAACCTTCCAGAACCCCACCTGAAAGCTTCCCCAAACCACCCCAGAGCTTATTTGGGCCTATCGACCCCATAGCTTCCAGCTGTTGGGCACTTGGTGGTTCCCAGCCGGTTTTTAGTTGGTTTCGCATAGGGGAAGAAAGACAGGTCTAGCAGGGAATGAGGGAATGACCCCTATAAACTCTGCCCTATGCTTTCCTTTCAGAGAATCCGCAAACGGTTCTTCCCCCGACACCCTAAATCATTCCCTACTGAGCGCCTTCAAGTACTAAGCCCCAGTTTGTCATGTAATAGGCTGCCCAGCATCGCCAGTTGATGCTGAAGAAGGGCGCACCGAAGGAGGACTTGCAGTTCGAAGAGGCGGATGTTCTTTCGCTTTTCAGGTGGGATATGTTTTTGCGGAGAATGGGTGGGTCAAGTTGCTTGGACCCACGTGAACGGTGGGGTCTCCAAACCAACACTGTTTTGGAACTGTAGGGTAGACTCATGGGAGAGTCCGAAAGTACATCATTCTCTGCGTGCCCCTTTGCGGGTTGGTTTGCATTGGACCTGGAGATGAATGTGATGTCCTTCGTGTCGAGGAAAGGGAAACCAGCCGTATGCCTCAAGGCTTGCCCAGTGGACTCCAGGCGCTGAATGGACTCCAGGTGTTTTCGGGATGCGGACCCCCAGCAAACAAGCTCAGGTCCCGATACCCAAAGGCCCCGCAACCTTCTGGAACCGATTCACCGGAACCCTCCCTGAAATGCCCCAAACCACCCCTTATCGCCTATTATACCTTTCAGCTTTTCCTTTTGGCTTTCCAAAAAGCTGAAAGACTCAACACGGACAAATTAACCTGAAGCCCAATTTGGGTCTGTCTTTGTTTGAGGGAACCCCCGCTTTTTGTAGTGTTGAAGGGACGCCAAAAGGAACACTACAACTTTGGGGGGTCCAAATCCTTGAACAAGACACACCCAGTTGTTTGGAAGGATCTCCTCTTGCCTCCCATTTAATCATTTCAGGTGCTTCATTTAGCTCAGTAATCCAGGCGTCCAAGGGGGGCCTTTTGGTTTCCTACCCTTCACCAGGAACTCCTTTTAGTGAGGCGAGTTGTGCACATCCCTTTGCTTTGGCGACGGGAGCAAAAACACAAAGTTTGGACTTGTTTTGGCCAACCCACTCAGGACGCGAGTATTAGTATATATTGAGTCGCCAAATCAAAAGGCCACTCTGTGGGTAGGTCTCTTTATCAATTTAGTCGGGCCAACATTTTTTGTTGATTCTGGCCAGTCAACTCAGGTCACGTTTCAAAGGGAAGCCACTGTCGGCATTTTTTAGGTTTTTGTTTTCTATTGGTTCTGCTCACTTTTTGCAAATCCATTCAGTTTTTTGCTACCATGCCAAGGGTTGGGTTTGGGTTCTCTGTGGAGACAGCCCCTGAGCTGGTTGAAGATCTTGCCAGGTCTTTCATCACCTCGCAAGCATCAAGGCGGCGTTGATCTCGACCTTGCGGACCCACAACGAGGCGCGGGTTGCGGGGGATTTCGCGCGCGGGTTGCGGGCTCCTTTGCCCCCCATGATCCCTGGCTGGACTTTGTTGTGACCAAATCACCCCAGAGAGACCCTGTTGGACAGAACTGGGTTTGTTGCGAAATTGGGGAGCCCACAGAATTGTGTTCCTTTGGGTTGAAAGCATTTCATTTCCTCAAAAGCAACCTACCAAAGGTTTGACGGGTTGCTCCGGGGGGAAGAGCAACCCAGGCTGAAATTGCGGCAGTTGTGGACAGCCCCTCCCCGTCCCCACACATCAAGGCATATTAAGCCCACATCAACATTTCATTGGATCTTGTATGTCCCAGGGCCAAGTTCGAAGCTGTTTCCTCCGTATCCGTTGGCTTCAGCTTCCTTTGTGAGGGATAGTGGCGAAAAGCTTGGACTTTTTTGGCCAATCCACTCGTTCGGAAGTGAGAACACGATTGAGCTGCCATTGTGGATTTCGGGGAGAGAGGGAAGAACTAAGTTGCTAAACTTGGTAGGAGCTTCTCCATTCGAGGCGCAGGGCGAGTTCAGTGTATGCTCTTCAAGATTCCAGTGTTGGGGGTTGAAGACAAGTTTCCGCAGCATGTGGACCAACTATCTATCACCTGCAGGGCAATTCCTTTGTTCCAGATACAGGCTTGTAGGGTTGAAACATGGTCCCCCCCCCGAAGCCATTTGACCAGCCTAGAAACACAAGATCCAAACGAAGACTTAGTCGCTTCGTTCGTGGACTTTTAAACTTTTGGGCTTAGACCACTAAAAGTGATACCCCCCACTTAGATTAGTAAAGTAGCAATGGGGACGGCCCACTTTCATATCCTCACTCCGTGAGTTTAAAAGAACTTTACACGATTCTTTGGACAGACCATTTGGGGAACAACAAATCAGACTTTGGTTAACTGGATGGGAAGTAAGGAGACGGGCTTTTGTTTCCCGCACTTCGCTGCTTTTCCGCCAGAACTCGCCCGTCATCAGCGCGGCATCACCCTGAGCCCGGGTGAATAGGGTGCGGCCGGGTTGTTTTCTCAGTTGGCGCGGAGGTGATCGGCTGAAGGGAAGGGTCGGAGCGATATTTGTTCTCGCAACTGACAAAGTTGCTACCCAGTGCGTTCATTCCTCTTAATGTTTTTGGTGGGTCCCTTTTGCACGGCCAATTTATTTCTGGGGCTACTCTTTTCTTTGGGGAGGACATGGGTTTGGGTCTTTGAACACACTTGGTTGCTCCTTTTTCCACCACTTGGGAAAGATCCTAAAGTTCTCTTTTTGGTTGTTTCAATCATTACCTTCAACTTGCCAACTCTAAATGAGGTTCCTATTGTTGGGTAATGTAGGCGTCACAAAAACAGGAAACCCAATTTTTCGCTTGGCGGGATGCCCATCGTCTAATTAAATCTATAGGGGCGCGTTTATCTCCATAAACCGTGATTTGCTTGGAGTTGAACGATAATTTTACCCCCACAAGAACAGATTGGCCAATAGCCACATCCGATGTCACGGATCCCCATCTGGAAGTCACGAGGTTTTGCCTGAGGTTGATGGCACACCGACAAAGGTCCAAATGTTCTGCATGGTCCAGACCTAAGTATACAGTCCCCTAACTGAGGAAACCAACCATTTGGAGGGTTCCCTTGTTCGAAGCCCGAGCATGCCGCAGCTCGTCGACTTCTGGGTAAAACAATATCATTGGACCTCGAATCCCGAAAGGCAAGAAATCCAAATTTCTGACTTGAACGCCCCTTTCAAAGAATTTTGAGTCCCGATGCACTTGCTCAGGGTTCAATCCTAAATCAAGGAGTTTCGCATATTTGTTGTTCATCAATATTCGGCAAAGAAGTGAGATGGTCCCGAACGTTGACTCAATTCTACAACTGATGGACAAAATCCACAAAACGTACCAATGGAATCCGGCAAATGGGATAATACCAATGCCTGGTGCCCATTACGGATTTTCTCCAGGGACCACACTCATTGTCCCATTACCAAGAACTGCAATGCTCGATTTTTGCAAAAAGGGAAGTTATGGGTAAGTTATGGGTAAGTTATGGGTATTCATACTGTGGACGAAATCCACTTACCACTTGGGATAAATGAACCAATGCAAATAATGGTTGATAAACTCCATACCAGCTGGTGCCTGACGCGGATTTTGTATTCATCCACAGCAGTGCTTCGCCTAAGGCAAGGATTCATGAAAGGAGCTCTTGTCTGAGTGCGAGAGCCTTCTTAGGCCGCTAGAGCTTTGACCAAATGAATACTGTCGCTGTACCTGGTTGCTCCAAGCCCCCCTCAGCAAAAGTTGATCACCTTTTGTAGGTATCGTTGTGTCCCAAAGGTCTAGGGGGCCTTCGGGGTCACACCAAAGACCAGCCAAATGTAAGGCAGCTTCAAAACATCCGGGTTCCAAACCACCAAAGAGAAATCTGAACGGTGGCATTTGGCGTATTGACTCACTCCGAGGCCTACTTTTCAGTGGACTCCAGCCCCAATCTCCTAATTTTGAGGACCACCTGACTTCTTGAAGTCTGGAGTGCTTGCTGTTTATTGGAAGACCATTATCCTGGCGAGCAGAAGGCCTGGTTAAGTACAGTTGTTCACTTTCTGGCTAATCCAGGAAGCGAAGCGACCAAGTTGTGTCAGAGCGGGTTGGGCTTTTCCAAACAAGGGCATCTGGGTCCTTCTCGCCTTCCCCTTTTCAAGCGCCTCTGATTCTTTAGGGGGTACAACCCCCGACCTGTGGCAGCTTGCCTCATTCCCCAGCCCTGGTGGTTTCCTTGGTCCTGTTCGTTCACACCCGGAAAGTTGATTCCTGACTGAATAGCAACAGCAGGCCTCTCGGGGCATGAAGCACCTATCGCTTTGTCTGTGTGTGTGATTGGTTCAGGGAACTCCTTGTTGGTTTCAAGGAGAAACCGAAGGAAAGCCAAATCTGAGAGCCAGCAAAGCGTAGTGGACATTTCTCAGGTGTTCTCGGTGATGGCAAAGCTGCGAGCCGGAGGCCCCAGCGAGTTTTCGGACTCCGGCAGTTGGGTTTGGTCCGCCAAACTGCGGTCGATGCCTGCCAGTTTGCAACCAGGGCACCAAGGAAACCCAACATCAATTTAACCATAGTCGGTTGGTTTAGTTGCATGGCGGACGGGGCATTCACCGTCGCACGGCAGGGTCTCCTCCAACACCATTTTATCTTGTTTTACACCCCCAAAAAGCATTGCATTCTTCACATTTCTATATAGATGATGTATGGTTGCCAGAATCCGAACATTTGGGTGTGTCCATTCTAGGAATCGGACCCAAAATGAGCGTGTTGTCCCGTTACTTTCCGTTTAAACCCAACCAAAAAGGTTGGTACCAGCTCCAAAAAGAAAAGAGGCGGGAGCAACCCCAACTCTGATTTTTCTGGAGCACTGAATTGGTACGAAGCGGCCCAAATGAAGGTGGAAGTCCATTTTTCAGGCTACCCGCAATTGGTTTGGATTGGTTTGGATTTGGATTTGAACCCCGTTACCTTTTGAAACCCAATGAGGAATGACCTGACATCCAAACCACCGATTCGGCTCCAAGCCACCCTTTTCGGGGGGAAGGTGAATTTCCGTTTCCCGGGGCTTCCTTCAGTCAGCCATTGAGGCAGCTTACCGCCTCCGTTTCCGAGGGTTTCAACCCCGGCTTTTTATCTTGGGGAAATGGCGCTTACCTGGGCAAAAGGAAGGCTCAAAGGGTTGTGGACGCCGCCGATTTCTTGCATGGTGGTTCCTTTGGCAGGGTCGTTGTGTGTGTGTGTGTGTGTTTTTTTCTTAGATTGGTGATTCATTATAAACACAGACTGAGCTAGAAAAAGAAGCTGCCATCAAGATGGCTTCCATTCCGCGTAGTTCACCCTGAAAGGAAGAAACGCAGACTGAGTTGGGTAAATAATGTCCTGTTTTGCTTGATGTCAATTTGGGGGTTGGGACATTTGGGCGGGACATAACGTTTTCGACTGGTTTAAACACTAGTTTTGGGCTGCTGATTTGAGATGCGCTTCTCCCTCAACCGCCCTGGTGCAACAAGAAATCTGCGAGACGTACTTGCGGCAGCACCGCCGATCCTTGTCGCCAACCTGGCCGCAACCGCCAGCACGAGCTGGCAAATTGTCCAGCCGGGGTGTTCACGCTCTTCCCGGCTATTGGCCGCCAAGCCGGGATACCATTGGCCGCCAGGCCGGGATACTACCTTTGACCGGCACCTCTGAAAAAGTTCTGGGGTCTCAAGAGAGGGAAGGGCGCTTACTATTTGAAAAGGCGTTCACCCCTCAAAAGGTGGTGACGTTTAAAGGGGACACACAGATGGTGGACACAATCCAGCAAGAGGTGGTGGGTGTATCCTATTTTTGACATGCTTCCATCCATCCCGAACCTCAACCGCCGTCCAAAGTGTCAGGAACACTGTTACAGGGCGCACTCACCAAGTTTTCCACAAGAAGCAGAGTTCTCATTTCCAATCTCCATGATGGTAAGCGTGACTGCATGTCTACGAGTTGCTGAAGGGCTTAGCCACGTAAGCCTGGAGCAAGTATGGCATTTTGACACCCTGGCCCCAGACTATTCCCTTGTTTAGATGAGGGGCCGAATAATTTCACATTTTTGTCTCATGATCAGGACTAAATCTGTACCCCGCAACCCCATTCTAATTATTTAGGCCCTTTCTTAGAGAACGGGGCTGTTCCCCCTAAGGGGTATGCTACCGCTTAAATCACAAAGGGTGATTGTGTGAAAGAGGAGCGCGCGTAAGCCCACTTCTGTTTTAGGAAATATCAATTTGCAGCCTTTTCGAATCATGTTCTAGCTTGTGGATAGTCTTGGGGTGATGAACAGGTTCTGCGACAAGTCCATTTACCGGGTACAATGTTACCTTGTCACCGACTGGCTCTTCCTGTGCAAGCGCTAACAAATTTATTTGTCATGCGAGCTCAAGCATGATGCATGCTGTTTTCCAGCATTTCCAGTTGGGAGTTTCTCAAAGTTACCTGTTTTGGTTGGCAAGGGAAGCAAAGGGAAAACATTTGAGAGGACCTCGCACAACACCCACACCCAGAGACACTACACTTCCGCTGTTCAAGCACACCAAGCGTTTTAGGGGGTAAGGGGCCCCTATTTTGAGACACCCGGACCCCCAGTGGCCATGGGGAAAAAGTCGGCACCAATTCGCTTTGGGCAGTTGTCTTCAAAGGGACCCCCAATTAGACAAAAGTTGAGCCACATCAAAAGCCGGGTAGGTGAAGGTTAGCAAGGGATAATTAGTCCCAACAATAATTTTGTGCAACCACCTTGTTGAATGCTTAATTACATGGTTCTGGGTAGACCGTTTTAATACCGATGGGTTTTGATTTCTGACTCGGTTGCAAGAAAGGAAGGTATGGGACCCATTCTCATCTGGAGGTCTGGGACCCCAGCTTTCCGCAAAGTCCAGGAAGGTTTCCGGGCAGATTGTTGTGACAAACAACGAGCCGGCTGAGGAGATTGCTCTGCTGTCCGTGCCGTGGCCACAGAGGGAGGCTTTCTGCATTCTGCGCATTCGCCGTGCCAAAGAGAGGATCAGATGTCCTTTCAGTTGAAGATTCAAACCTTTTTGTGGATATTTGTGCGCTAGGACACCGCTCACTTGTCGGAGTATCAGATTGTTGGAAGCACACACAATTTAAGGTTGCTCATCTTGCTCTCAGAAGATGTGTGGGTGGGCAAAATCCTGCACCACCCGGTATGAAGCCCTTTAAATATCGGTTGAGAAACCATCAATTAACAAACTGGCGCGAAATGGTATTTCTCCATCCACAGAAGTTTGAAAGGCTTACTTTGATTTCCGTTCACTGGCCAAACATCTGCCAACTTGAGTCGGGTCTTTGCTAGCCTGTTTGCAACTTCACAATGGAGGGAAACTTCATGACCTACAATTTTTATAGGGCCCTCGTGTTCTCCACATGCGCCCAGAAGTCTGCTAGGAACTTACTGTGGATGGACAACTCCTGCACCACCTAAGAAACCCTGCAAGGATGAGTCCCCTGTAAATACCAACCAACAATGGTTTGCCATGGTTTCAAAGTGGTGCAGAATTTAAATTGAGGGCGGCCTCATAGCCACGGTCAAAATATGACGTTCCCGCACCGAAACCGATGTCACATAAGAGTCTCACATTGGCGTCCCAAAATGATTGGTTCCGTTGATTTTCCCTTGATATAAATCCCAACCAGGAGGGGTCCATTGAGGAACTCCCGTTTCTAGGTCAATGTTTGGTACCAACTCACGTGTTTGCCCTTGACTCGATGTCAAACAAGGTTTTAATCCTAGGTTTGACGTTTTTCGCAATGCCCGAGATCTGGATGGGTGCCTACAAGTAGCAGACCCCTACTGTGGGTGGACAAAACCCTGCACCAGCTAAGAAAGCCTGGAATGATTCGATTCCCCTGTAAATACCAACAACTACCATGGTTCCACCATGATTTCATGTCGTGGTGCGAAATGGAATCCATCCATCCACAGTATTTTGGTCAGTTTTCCTTTGGGAAACCGAAAGACGCCGTGACCCTAAACGCGATCGAGATTCCTTCTGGGGAGACAGACGCTTAGCACCTGCCTTTTGCTTGCAGAATTTGAGGTTTGGCTGTGTCAAAAGAACGATGCGGGCCCCCGGTTACATGCCGACATGCCCATGGAGCCCAACAAAAAGAGCCCAAAGGGAGATAGAGGCTAGCTCATGTGAAAAATGCAGAGGAAGGCCCTACATCACCACGCTCAACTAACATTTGTGTACCTTTTCTCTTTTCCGTTCTTCATTTTTACCAATCCAGCAACCATATTTTTTGTTGCACGGCGTCGTCATTACCCTTTAATTCCACTAGTTGGTTTTTGCTGTTAGAGCTGCGCGTCTCCCATGAACATCACATGGAACTTCTTAAAGCCCCAAAGCCAACTTCCCGAGGTGAAGAATGCTGCAATTTCCTTTTGGGTAAGTGAAGGGGATGTCGAAGCCGACATGAGGGAGTTGTGACATGGCACCAAGCTGTAAATACGTGAATTCTGAGGCTTCCATTAGACAGTTTTTTTTTTGCCGGTTTGGTTGGCAACTAAGCACTGGTTTTGGTGCCGAACTGGGTTCTCCAAACTGGGGAATCTCCATGGTCGGCTTACAATCTGGATTTGGGGGAGCACTTTTGTGGATGACTTTGTCGGGTAGCTGAACCGCCTGGTTGCCCCTAAAACCTGTTGCTGCGTCTGTTCCTGGAACACCAAAGAAAATCATTGAGAAGACCTGTTGTCAAAAGCAAAAGGGGCTAATTACAAATCTTTGTTAACAAGCACCTGAAGAAGCTGCTTGCTGGTTTAGGACCTTCAAGATCGTCTTGAAGATTGTCTTGATGATGAGTTCCCGGATGACAAACCCCAGGATGAGCCAGACCTAATCCTGGGAGCTTGTTCTCCGCCCAACCGGCGCCAAGAGATGTCATGATGCCAAAGAATGTGCCGGGGCTCATGGCGTTTCATCAAATGATGCAGCATACCCTAGGCCGGCTGGCATGCACTTGTGCGGCTCCAACGCGGAGAAACAGTGGCAGGCGCTGAGGTTCTTTCGGGTCGCTGTTGGGGGGCGTTTGTCAAGGACAACAAGAGGGAGGAGCACAAGTTTAGGGATACTTGAAGACACACCCTGCTGTGAAAGAGAGACAACTTGTTTGTCAAGTTGCTCCATGTTTGCTCTGCTCTTTTTATGGCCACCTCAGTTTGGGGCACACTGAGCTCACCATGATTGTCCCTTACTTGAGGATCTTTTAATCCTGGGTTTCGAATATTGTAGACTTTGCAGAGTTTTTGGGCTTTGTGCTTGTGCTTTTTCTGAACCCATTTTAGCGGTAGATGACTTTTGGCTGGTGCGCCTTGGACGTGAGGTTTGTCAGAACCCGCCAACGTCATTGGGACGCTACGATCTCCAGTGTCTTTAGTGCGTCTTCAGGGCCCGGACCCTCATGGATTCACAAGACGGAAAATGGCCAGGACACCAGGGTTTGCTAAAGCCGAAACTTGGTTTGGTTGCCTGTCTTGGAGCAACCTTGACATGGGAAGGGTTGAGAGTTGCGGGGAATCCATGGAGTGTGGCAAGATTGGTGACAGCCCCAGGATTCCTGTGCAAATTGTAACGAGCTCAGCGGATAAAAGGAGCTCGCCCGATGAATGTCTGGGAGGAGGGGGGGGATTCCTGAAACCTAATTCCCCCATCTCTGGAGAAAAATATGGCGTAGCAGCTGCGTGCATGGCAAAAGCTATTGCGCTCAGGACGAACGGCGCAGGATCAACTGTTGCAGATGTATAACAACAACTCCAACCAGGTGACGGCTCTGATCGCCCGAAAGCTTCAGTCTGGGAAGTTCCGGACATCCCTGCCACGTGCACACACGGGACACCATACGATCGCACCGCCAATCAGTTTGGCAACTGTTCCCAGATCCGTTTTGCCAAGATCAATTTCTTTTCTCTCCTCTCAATCTTTCTGGTTGTCAGTAGGCAATCATTTGATTCGTTTTGGAAAATGAACCTGGGGACCCCTAAGAAACCACAAGGGATGGATCAATTGGGGTCAGTCCCCGGTTTTGTGAGAAGCAGCAGGTAATCTTGCCCCAAAATGGCCCAACATGGAGGCGGGGGGGGGGGCGGGGGACAATTCATTTGGGGCACCCCCTTTTGGGAAACTGCTTAGGCAATTGCATTCTTTGCTCCCAATCGTCAGGGTCCCTTCAAGAACACCAGCTGGGGCCAGTCAAGACATCACTTTCAATTTACAGGATCCCAGGTGGTTTGGGAATGGGGGACCATGTTTTTCCACCCTCCCACAGCCTGTTTCTTCTCTCTACCTCTTAGCGCTCTTAGTGTTGGGATTCGGGGTGGAACAACAACGGCGCCCCCCTTTGGAGTTTGCATCCTTTAAAGCACCCTGTGTATCCCCGCCCCTAAGTTCCTGGACTTTTAAACTGTTTGGGGAAAACCCTTTCTAGCAAATAGCACGTTCGGACTTTTAGTGTTTTCAAACAGTCATTGGCCATCTTCCGATGGCCGGGCCTGTCCGGTTTGGCGAAGCCGAAGCCGCGCGAGCGCCAGCGCCCGCTGCAAGACAGGCGGCGCTGCTGACCGCAGGCGGCGAGGACACTGAGCTCGTGCTGCGCCAGGCGAGGGGTGGGACCTGGTTGGCCACTGGCAGGTTGGTGTACACTCTTCCGGGTCGACACTCCAAACTAGACCACGGTTGGCCCGAAAGCAGAACATCGCAAGCGAGGTCGGCCCAACGCTGCATCCCTACACGAAGCATTTGTGAAGCAAGCGCGAGACAGCACCAGGCAAGGTGCTCTGCGCAAACTGGTCGGTGCAAGTTGGTCTGCGCAAGTTGCTCTACGCAAGTTGCTCTGTGCAAGTTGCTCTGCGCAAGTTGCTCTGCGTAAGTTGCTCTGCGCAAGTTGCTCTAGGCAAGGCGCTCTGCGCAAACTGGTCGGCGCAAGTTGGTCTGCGCAAGTTGCTCTGTGCAACTTGCTCTGCGCAAGTTGCTCTGCGCAAGTTGCTTTAAAATGCAAGTTGCATCTTGCGACGCCCGCCCGCGGACCAGGGAGGAATCGAACCCGCGACCCGCCGGTTCCGGGAGCAGGCGCGCGAACCACGAGACAACTCCCGAGGACCAGTTCGAACAACAAAAGTCGCAAAACACCTCGAGTTTTTGCACCTCAACCACACCAATCCCCGCAGAGGGTTGCGCGAGCGCCGCAGAAATCGCCAAAAACCATGGGTTTTTGCACCTCGACCACGCCGATCCCCGCAGAGGGTCGCGCGGGCATGTTGGAAATCGCAAAAAACCATGGGTTTTGCACCTCGACCACGCCGATCCCCGCAGAGGGTCGCGCGGGCATGTTGGAAATCGCAAAAAACCATGGGTTTTTGCACCTCGACCACGCCGATCCCCGCAGAGGGTCGCGCGGGCATGTTGGAAATCGCAAAAAACCATGGGTTTTTGCACCTCGACCACGCCGATCCCCGCAGAGGGTCGCGCGAGCACCGCAGAAATCGCAAAAAACCATGGGTTTTTGCACCTCGACCACGCCGATCCCCGCAGAGGGTCGATTTTCGTGTAGTGTCGTCGGCACTACCCCGCCGCCCTAAGAAGAGATTTTAACTCCTCGCAAGTCAATTGCACTTGACTCCTTGCACTTGCAACTTGCACTCGACTCCTTACACTTGCAACTTGCACTTGACTCCATGCACTTGCAACTTGCACTTGACTCCATGCACTTGCAACTTGCACTTGCACTTGCAACTTGCACTTGACTCCTTGCACTTGCAACTTGCACTTGACTCCATGCGCAGCTCGCAATGACTCTCATGAATGACTCCTTGCAATGACTCCTTGCAATGACTCCTTGCAATGACTCCTTGCAATGACTCCTTGCAATGACTCCTTGCAATGACTCCTTGCAATGACTCCTGACTCCTTGCAATGACTCCTTGCAATGACTCCTTGCAATGACTCCTTGCAATGACTCCTTGCAATGACTCCTTGCAATGACTCCTTGCATGACTCCTTGCAATGACTCCTTGCAATGACTCCTTGCAATGACTCCTTGCAATGACTCCTTGCAATGACTCCTTGCAATGACTCCTTGCAATGACTCCTTGCAATGACTCCTTGCAATGACTCCTTGCAATGACTCCTTGCAATGACTCCAATGACTCCTTGCAATGACTCCTTGCAATGACTCCTTGCAATGACTCCTTGCAATGACTCCTTGCAATGACTCCTTGCAATGACTCCTTGCAATGACTCCTTGCAATCCTTGCAATGACTCCTTGCAATGACTCCTTGCAATGACTCCTTGCAATGACTCCTTGCAATGACTCCTTGCAATGACTCCTTGCAATGACTCCTTGCAATGACTTTCATGATGATGATTCCTTGCAATGACACCTTGTAATGACTCTCATGAGAACAACTCAAGTGAACCCAGCGGAAGAACCCTTCGCCATGCTTTCGGGAAAAAACCGAGAAGGTGTTGAACTGTTGGAGCCCCACCCTGGCTGCTAGGAAACTAAATGTAAAAATGCTGGCGGATTGCTCATCCAATGCTTTTAACGATTCGACTTTTAAAGTTTTGCAAGAACCAAGAGAAGACTACTTTCATGGCCAAAACAGCCAAACTGTGATGATTTTTGTGATTTGGGCAGAGAGCACTCCTCCGTGCCATTTTGGACCGCTGTCGTGGCTGCCGTGGATCGTTTCGAAGCATGTCATAAACCAAAAAGATAGGGTTCATACCAGGTGTTCATACTCCGGGTTCATATAAGGATTCAGGGTGTCCAGTTTAGCGATCTCTTTGACGTGATTCGACTTTTTGGTGGACATACAGATTGGTGTGAATCCCATTTTAGCAATGTTGATGGATATGTTGATGGGTAAGTCAACACTCTGGTTCATCAATGCGGGCATTCCATGTTGGAGAGTGTCCTTCACTAGTGAGAGCTTTTTTTGAATGAGTCTGCAGTTCGAGCTTCGCTCAACATTGACCAGAATCAACCATTGTTTTGGTTGAGTAGCTGAGGTTGCAACGAGAGAAACAAGTTGGAGCCCATGTGGCGTCGCGCTTGTTCCGGGCTTTGTGGTTGAATACGGTTGGTTCACTTGCACTTTGTTCGGAATCCACCGCATGGTGGGTCCCTAGCAAAAGACACACCGGAATGTCTTTTTTTTGACTGAGGCCTCTGTCATTTTGTTGACCCTCCATTTGCTTACTTCCATCTTTGACACGGACCCAACGTATTGTTCTGTTCGCATAGAACATGTTCAGGCACCCCAAAAAAGTGCCGGCGTAAGCCCGGCCCAAGCCAAAAAGAGAGTCGCCTGGTGGATTTGTTTGGGTTTTTGTTGGAGGAACCGGAAAATCGGGTTGTGTCAAATGGAAGCCAAGGGAAACCATCCTCGCGGTTCCCCCCACATTTCGAGGCAAAAGGCAGTTGCCTTTGCCCCCAAGCAACCTGTAGAGTGTTTGTTTCTTCACAAGTCAGTCATGGCAGCGTGCCAGGGTCCAGCCTTCCGCCTTGGGAGAGCCATAAGCCATTGTCATGTGGACTCTTGGAGTTTAGGTCCGCTTTTTGCGATTGGTGTCACAGATTTCGGGCTGCTTTTCTGCAGCCACCAGTTGGTGGTTTACCCGTTTGATAGGGCTTTCCCTACCCCAGTGCGAAATGGATCTTGTACCCACAGCCGCTTTACCCCACCTCCTAGGCAAGTGACATCGGGCTTCTTTTGACGGGTCCGAGTCGCCGAACATTTCGAGGCAGCCAAGCGCTTGCATACTGCGCTGGAGGAGACCAAGAAGGGCGCACGGCGCTCAGGTCGGAGTCGCTGACGCTAGTTCAGGGTCCCCGGAAAATTCTCCCTTGTCTGAAATCAGCCCACGAGGTGTACAGGGGGAAACCCAGGGAGCCAGGGGTCGCAGACCTGCAGTGGCTGCCTTGTTCTGCATGTGGGTATGTGTGAATTAAATACTGGGACTCGCAAGATGGCGGGTTTCCTTTCGGTTTCTCTGTAAATCAGCACTAAACAGTAAACCCTCAATAGAAACATAGTTTCGTCTCTCTTGTTTTCTGAGGGTCTTCCCTTTAGAATCAGCTGTCTACCAAGAGAAGGGTGTCTACTTACCTATGGCCTCTGGAGGTTTGGGCTATTAGTAGTCCACTGTCGGCTTGCGGGTGGAGGAGAGAGGAGAAACCACCCAAAGACGAATAGCGGCACGACCATTTGCTGAAATACTCCCCGCAACGCCACTTTTGTGATTGCGGTGGGGGCTTGTGGGTTCTTTGTTCTTGTGTTTTGGTGGGTTGGGCGGTTTAAAGGGAAGCCAACGGGAAAACCAGCTGGGCACACACGTACCCACATGACCAAGGGATGTCGGGTGAGCCCAATACCCCTCAGAAAAGGAAGTGACTCCCCCTGTTGTGACACACACACACACACTCATATGGGTGTTTGCCAAAAATTAGAGACCCCTGCAGGTTGTTGGAAAATTCGATAGAAACCGTTTGTTTCCCATCCCATAACAAGAAGCATTCAAAGGGTTCCCCGATTCTGAGAAAAGCAGTATTGGGGTGTTTCAGTTGGTTTTAGTGTTGGTTGTCTTTTTTAATACCGACTAAAGGGGGTCTACCATTTTGCAACACCCCATTTGTTACGCGCACCGTTTGAAATCAACCTTGAGGTTGACCGAAGAAAACACACCAAAAACATAATCCACCAAACAAAGCTGGTGTCTTTCGGCATTCGTAAGAAAAATGCAGGGTACCGTCCAAAAATGACGCACCTGTATGTCCGATGTTGGTGCTTTTAAACATCTAAAGCCAATCTTGAAAAGGGTCCCTGCAAGACATGACTTCCTCATTTGTTTTTCGGTTTGCCCTGAAAATCTGCCGGCACCACCTGTGGACAAAATCCGCCAAACGCACCACTTGGGATAGAAACCCAGCAACCAATCCCAACTGGTGACGAACAAAATTTGCGTGGGTTTTGTAACCATTCACCCTAGGGTTCAGGCCCCTTTAAAAGAATGGCAAGTGACAGTCCTGAACGATAAACCATGGTTATACTGTGGAGGAACGAAATCTTGCACCACCTAAGGAACCCTGGAATAATTCTATTCCCGTGTCAATGCCAACAAACGTTACGGTTTTCCATGTTTCAAAGTGGTGCGAAATCACAGTACCAGCACAGCCACTGTTTGAATGGTGGCAACTGACCCCCAGACGATTGGTATTGTTTTTCTCCAAGAATCACCGAGGACCACCGCATCGAGACCTTGGGCGCTCTGCCCCAGGAGCTCCGCGGCAACGGTGCCCGGGAGCCCAAGGAAGGGTGACTTTCTTGTTTTGTTGGGGGTGGGGGGGGGGCGGGAGGTTTAGACGAAAGCCATGAAGACACCACCATGTTGAATGTTTTCCTCTACTTTTGAGACATACCAATGTGGTTCCCTGTTGGTTTCGTTTGCGAGCCGACACCGGGGTAAGAATCAAAGCCCGGACAGAAGGCTAGGAAGCTTCCAGGAAGCGTTTCAGAATATGTTATACGTTCCCCCGTTACGCAAGCCAGTCTAAGGGTAACTTCCCCGTTCTTTCCAGTGATCCTTCTTTAGATTTTCTTAGGTGCTGCGAGAAGCACACTTGGCATCCATCCACAGTATGTTTGGAAAATCATTGCTCCGCCGTTTTCGATCGTCTCATGGCTCTCCCGCCAGCCAAGGAGTGGCTAACGCCGCGCATGCGCCAAGAGGTCCAGACGAATCTGCAAGTGGGGGAGGCCGGCTTCATTTCGAGCGAGACACTCCTCCAAACCCGGATAGATTGGTGTGTCCATTCTTTTAGGGTGTTGTTTTAAATGGCACCGGTTTGGAGGGGTCAGGGGACAAACGTCAGCCTGTTTTGGGCTGTTTTGGTCGCTTGGACATGTTTTGATCTTTGGGTTCAGAATCGTAGGCGGAACCCCCCCATGAAAGCCTGCACTTTTTTTGGGGGGGGTGTTGTCCAATAAATCAGGCCTGAAAAGGGTGCTTTGGATTCGGGACTGGGGGTTTGAACCTGGGGTCCTTTGAAGCACAGGGACAAACCACCAAACTAAACCGCCGAATATGGGTCAGGTGAATAAAGCCTTCAAAGAAGCGCGAGGTTCGAGCTACGGTCGCTGCCGCAACAAAATATGCAGGCATCGACCACGAGAGCTTGTTTTGGGAGGTGATCAAACACCCACCGGAATTCTTCGCAACCTGGGTTCAGCATGGTTGGAAGATACTCGAAT